AAAAGTAAGTCTATTTCTTGATGCAGTTTTTTTTCCTTGTTCGGTTTTTTACTGGTTCAATCGACATTGGATGCAAGGACGCGGCATTTTGGAATGGACTTGCAGCCACGTGCATCCAGAAACTTGCTGGTTTGGTTGTTTCTTAACTACAGATGATCTCATGTAATAAAATTGTGCCAGCCGAATAGAATATCAAGGGTTCTTTGGATGCAAGCGGTTTCAAGTCAAAATAGACCATTTTTGTGTTTAAAACGCATGGTGTAGCTAATTTAACTAACCAATTAATTTTGTCTTTGTTTTTTGTTTGTTTGTTTTGTTTTTTTGTTTGTTTGTTTTTTTGTTTTTTGGTCGGAATTATGTACTTTGTGAATTAAGATTTTGTTCTGTTAGCAAAGCAAAACGATTGTTAAACCGGGAAATTGATGGGATATTGTATCTGATCGATTCTAAAAAAGCGCTTAAGTTAGATCGTTGACGTTCTTATTTGTTCGATGTTCCAAGCTAAAAATCACTGATTTAACGTATGTTTTCAAGGGAAATCAAACGATTAGTAAGCAGACAGCTGGGAATATTACCTGTCATGGTATTTTCGTTGGATCAGAGGTACGACACCGTTATCGCTTTTTTATAGTTTTCATTACTTCATGCTCGACTAATAACTTTCGGGTTTTCTTTCAAGCAATTTGACCAGACATATGAGATGTCCGGATTTCCGCTTTTTTTTATGCAAGTAATTAGTGATTAGTGAATCTAATTAACATATGAGATGTTTTCATAAAAAAGACTCGAATTTTCAGAAAATATTTCCGTTTTAATCAAAAGTGGTTTTGAAATCAGTAGTAAAATAAACGATAAAGACAACAAGTGATTTTTACGACGTTTCGAGGTCATACTGTCCTCATTGTCAAGTACTCGAAACGTCGTAAAAATCACTTGTTGTCTTTATCGTTTATTTTACTACTTATTTYCGTTTTATTTGAAAAAAAAAAATTAGAATCTATTTATGTACAGATAAGATAAAACAAACAGACCAATTTTCTAAAAAAAGTGAGTTTTCTTGAAAACAGCACAAATGCTAATTAGCATGTATTTAAAATCGCTAATTACTTCCATAAAATACAATTCTAAAATATCATAGTATAGGTAAGTGAATTGCTTCAGAAGTTGTTTGCGTTTAGGTTTGAATTGCTTGAAAGAAGCCAAAGTTATGAGTCGAATATCAAAGAACCGCGTGATTTGGCAGTTTGCAGATGATGATCGACCTAAATGGAATACGCTTATAGTGAGCCGCTTAAAATTCATTAACTGTTTATATCCATCAATTTTCCATGAAAAGAAAAATCGCTCCCGAAATTCGACGTACACTAAAGTCAAGATAACATTAATGAAACCAGTGCTCAACAACAAACAAAAATTCCTAGAAATTGGTTTGATGGCCGCCGCAACGGTTACTATGGTGATGTCAATGATCGTTATGTCGTATCTAAGGTAAGTGTAATTGAATTCCCAGGGTCGAATGAATTTTAGACTGAACACAGTTAGAGTGATCGCACTTAATCTGTGCAACTGTACAAACTAAATAGTGCTATTTAGTTGTATTTAGTAAACCGTGCATGCGGTACGCAAATTAAATTGAATTGATACAAATGAAGCATTCAATACCGTCTTGCTTCAGGTCAACTTTTAGTACAAATTAATACTACTTAGATTTTGTACAGTTGCACGCTTTAAGTGCGATTACTCTAATGTGTGAAATTGTACAAAATCACACAAATTTGAACTAATTTTGCAACTGAAGAGGAACATTGCTTGAAT